TGATAAATGACTATCAGACTTTGAGAACCTGGTATCACTGGATCATGTTCAACAATTTTGTTGAATTAACATTAACTAAAATGTGCAATTAATTGTTACAGTTTTGAATTTTACTGTTACTATCCTCCTTCCGTCGTGCAAACCGCCCAGTCATATGACCCCACCAGTCACGCCCATCAAGACACGCCCACAGAACCAGTAGTAAAAAATTGAATTCCACCACTGGGTGGGGGGCACTGACGATCAGTTTGTAGCACCAAGGGGGCGGTGGACTGAAAAAGTTTGAGAACCACTGATCTATACCATACATTCAGTACATAAACTTAGAGAAGATCCCTCCTCTCTATTAATAAGAATAACAACATTTCCTTTCCTTTCATAAATGTAGTCACAATTTCACTATTTTAAGGGACATGGTTGCAAATGTTAGATAAATGCTACATGCACTTTTTAAAACTTCAGCTGTGTATTTAAATCCAAATAAATCAATTTTAATAAATCTGCCCCATTGTAGAAATAGATAAAAATAAATTGAGACATATACTGGCATATTTTATGTATGTATTATAGAACTTCTGAAAATGTATTGTTATGGGATTGTCATGGGAAAATTATTGCCCTTTTTTGATTTCACTGGATAATCCATCAGCAGAAAAATCTTTCTAGTTGTAATATAGTCAACTGTCTTATAAAGGCCTATAAAAATTTACATTTAAAATTAAACGGAGAAGGGGATGTCTAAAATAAATTGCAAGAATGACAAATAGATTAATTATGTGTTCAGTTCAGCAATTATCCAAAATACTTTGAATGATAAGACCCAAAATTGTTGAGTTTGTCAACACTTTCTAATAAAAGTCAAAATCCCTCTTTGCTAGGTTTCATGCATGTCTTTTCCCCCATTTAAACCAAATTAATTCTGAATTAATTCTGAGAGAATTCTGAGAGAAGTTGCACTGTTTGTCAACATTTTACTTTTCTGGAATGTAAATGCAATTAAAATATTTTTTTTAATATTTCATAAGTTTACAGCAGTTCAGTATGGATTGTGAAGGAACAGCTTGCAAAGAGGAAAATAAAATACTAATCAGTCCTTCTTGCATAATATAAAAATAAAAAGTTGTAATTTACCTGTTAAGATACCTTTTCTTCTTCCCCCATTCACTTGAACTTCTAAACAGGCAACTTCACGAGACTGTATAAGATTTGTTATTTTAAAAAAAATCAATAATAAAAGATGTTGTATAGAGCAAAATTACATTTTTATACTTCTATCCCATGAGTCTGTTATGCAGAATGACATGAAATGTAAATGGTACAGATCCTGTTTCCCTGAAAATAAGACCTCCGCAGATAATAAGCCCTACCCGAAAATATTGCAATACAGCAGCAGCCGTGAAGTGACCATACTCGCTGCCTCCTGAACTTCAAAAATAATAATAAGCTCCCCCAAAATAAGGCCAAGTTTTATTTCGGGGGTCAAAAGAAAATAAGACCATGTCTTATTTTCAGGGAAACATGGTAAGACATCAGGCCTAAGCACTGAATTTATTTATAATAAATTCAATATGCACAAATAAAGCACATGAAGGAATAATTAAGCATGGTGTTTTGATTTTTTAGAAACCTTTTCCATTTCTATTCTCTAGTCAATTTCCATTTGCTCCAGATTTCAAGATATGCTTCAGGCTTGGCTTTTCTAAATGAACAATTTCTACCCAATCACCCAGTGCAATGTTAACATGAGCAGAAGCTGAGCATCCTTAGTTTAAGACCATTTCCTATTCAGCTATTCAATTCAAGAGTAGTGTAGAATAGCAAAATTACCACTAAGACTCCATTGGTAAGAATTTTTTCTGGAACATCCGGGCTGAAAAGGGAAAAAAAATATACATTATTTCAGTCAATGTTTTAACAAGCAGGGACAATATTCCTTCTGACATGCTTGTAATCTTCCATGCATCAACTCAATAGCTTGAGTGCTCAAATAAAATATTCATTCGACTTCATGAGGAGGAACATGGTCTCACTGTCTCCACAAGGAGAAGTTGGGCTTAACTCAAAAGCCCTTTATGTGGTATTCTTTCCAGAGAAAATGGAAGGATGATGGAAGGACTGCTAGAACTACTATGATTACTGAGGAAAATGACACTCTTCTGTTATTGTCAGATGAGTTAAATCTGTATGCCTATTGACAGTACTATCTAATAGGTAAGTTCTAAAGTAAGCTGTCTATGCTGGCAATTCTCTGTTATGCTTCACCTCACAGTTTTTGGTCTTACCTGCTCTCCATTGTGAATTCAACTTCTAGTTCCTCCTTGCCCTAAAAATATAAAATAAATACAATGTTTCATATTTTTATACATTTCTGCACATTCCTTTAGGAATAAGAATTAAATGCTTAAATAAGGTTTCTTTGCAGAAACATAAAATGTAACCAGGTCTTTTCCCCACCTGTACCACTGCCTCCAACACCCACATGTTAAATATAGATGACTAATTCAGGGAAATCAATGTAACTGAACAAGGCAATGCATTGTCTCCTATGTACAATATTCACTGAATATTTTTACAGATAGAGTGATCTAAATACCTGGAAGTGGAAAGGTAAAAACAAAACAAATATTTCTTGAGTTTATTATTAATCGGTTTTAATTTAAAGACTATTAATGTGGCTATCATTTTGAAGTGACATTGTTGTCCATATGCCTGATTTGTCTTCTCAACTCCAGACCGAAGTATTTAAAGGAGAATGCACACAGTTCACATTAGTGATAATATGGAGAAAAATCTCCTGAGTTTTTCTTCTATTAGAAAAATTCCTGCATTTATGTTTTACCAGTCCTCATTAGACTGCTGTAAAAAGTATTTGATTTACATGTGTATTTGTAATTGATTAGGAGCTAAGTATGATGTTACTGGTTCTATTTGAATGACTTGTTTCTCATTTTTCCATCACCTGTCTGATGACCTGTAGCTACCCTGACTTCCCATGCTTCTATTAAATCTCAGAGAAAACCCATGTTGGCTTTTCAGTAATGATTTTAACTGTTGACACTAAAGAGAAGTGAAAAATCGAGAATCTTTCCTACATTGGACAAATTCAAAAACTTTTTAGTCCACAAAAAATCCAAAAAACTATTTGTGACTAGCTGCAGCTCATAAGTTACATATTTGATATGAAAAATACTATTTTATGCAGACTAAACGTCCCCTTTTAATATGATTCCACATTAACAGAGTGGGAATGTTGTGAAAATCCAGAGAAACATGTCTTTTTGGATTTTTTGT